GCGGCCCGCGCCCAGGAGCCCGGAACCGCCCCCGCCGGCGGGGACGGCCGAGGACGGCGGGGACGGAGCGGAGGCGGCTGCCGCGGGGCAGGGGGCGTCGCCGCGGAGCCCCGAGCCGGACAAGGAGCGTCTGCGCTTCCAGGTGAGGCCCGGGTGGGCTGGGAGGCCGGCAGGGGCGCTCGCGGGTGTGGGGCTCCCCCGGTGGCCCTCGGGCCACGTCGTTGTTCCCGCGGCCGCTGAGCGCGGCTGGTGTCGTCCTCCCCAACAGCGGGGTTGAGTCGAGCGTAGCGTGACCTACGCGTAGCGAGTGCAATAAGACTCCGCGTCACGGCTCGGCCAGGTAGTCGAACGTTCTTATTCCGGGCGTATCTGTACTGTAAAGCCCTGACCGTAGGCACAGGGGTGATCTGAGATCGGGTGTTCACACACAACGTCAGGTGAACTTGCAGGAAAGACGAGTCTCAAGGACGCCTCTCTGGTTTCCCCGCTAAACGTGGCAAAACCCTCAGTCGACCGCTGGGGCCCCAGTCAGCCCTTTACCTGATCTTTATCTTCATCTTCCAAACCAGCAGTCTACTCCTGAAGTGCCTTCCGTAAGAACTTGCTTTGCTTTTTAAAAGCACCCCTTCCAGAATTCCAGCACTGCTGGAGCACTTGCGTGGAGAGCAGCAGGCTGCACCCTGAAGTAAAGGGCTGGGGCCCACGGAGGCGGCCGTAGCCCAGGGGAAGCAAGAGGCAGGAGAGGTCGTGAGAGGCCTTTCGCACACTCGTCCTAGGGCTGTTTTTCTTCCCCTCTTTTTTTCCGGGGGCGTAGGGGGAGGGAGGAGGAGGGAGTGAATCAAGCCAGGGCTTTCAGTCCCAACTTAGCCATAAAGGTGCTGTGTGTGATCTGGGCAAGTCTTAACCTTCCTGGGCTTCATTCAGTTTGCTCACCTGTGAAACTTAAGTTCTCAAAGTTCCTTCTAGCTCTAACTTCTTACTAGCAGGGAAGAGGGGAAGCGTGGGAGTGAGGTAATGTTACTTTAGTCCATGTTAATTATGAGTTATGGCTTATCCACAACTTATGTTCGTTGCACTACTGTATAGGAACTTAACTAGCAGCAGAGGGAACTTAATCTCAGGTGAACACCTTAAGGTATTTTAGATTCAGAGTCTTATTTCTTTTCTTTAGCTTAATAACTTTAACGTGTGTATGTTCTAAGACCAGACTTTATCCTGCAGAGAAAAGGCTTCCCTAAAGAATTTCGAGCTTCAGAGAATCCTCGATGTTTGGCTTTTCCCTGGCCCGTCTGAGGGAAAACACTTATTTGTCAGCTAGCCTTATGAACGAAGTCGACCTAACATAAACTACTTCTATAAGCTTTCTTATTTGCTTGACCAAGTTATCAGCTCACTATACTGTGGAGGTTTACCCAAACCTGACCCTACTTCCTTCTGTGTTCTAGAATGAAGTTGCCAGTTTTAAGTACCAAGGAGATCCTTTCTAGCTTCTGAAATGAATAACTTGGGTGTCATGTTAAATTCTAGTATTCTGTTCAGTTCTTAGAGCAGAAGTACGGCTATTATCACTGCAAGGACTGTAACATCCGATGGGAGAGTGCTTACGTGTGGTGTGTACAGGGCACTAACAAGGTAAGAAATACCATGTAACTGGCATCCTTTGGCCAAATATGTCAAGGGGCTTTTGCTTTAAGTTTCTCCTCTTTCTCATCACAGGTTTACTTCAAACAGTTTTGCAGAACTTGTCAGAAGTCTTATAACCCTTACCGAGTGGAGGATATCACCTGTCAAGTAAATCAAATGTTTGCAATTTGTCTGAATTTGGTAGTGGTAGAGGGTTTTCAGTAAGTTTCTCAAATGCATTGCCTAAAAGGCTAGGTTCCTCGTGACCTTCAGTTTGGATTGCTTTTGCTAGGAGTTGTGGAACTAACACTCAACTGGGAAGCAGCTCCTTACTGCTAGCTTCCTTCTGCCCTTGCGAGTCTTGGTCACGTTAACCTCTTCTGGAGCTGACCTCACTTGCAATATGGAAGAATGCTTGCCTTACCTGCTACTCACGAGTCTACTGTAAGAGGAAGCAAACCAAAAAATATAGAATATCTTTCTACTAATGTGAGGTGGAAAGATTGTTTACTCAAATGCTTTTGAGGCACATACTCAAGTTAGTCTTGAGTACCGGGGTTTAGTTTGTCTTGCCTGAGAGCTCACAAGGAGACAGTTTAAGGTAAATTTAAGTTGCCCAGCTTTATGGGGTTAACTCTTAACGTATTGCTTGCTTACTACTAACTGGGCACTGTGCTAGGGACTGAGACAATCTTTAAGAGGAAAGACATGACCGAATTTGCCTGTTATACACAGCTAATGGAGCCGAAATTGCCTGTTGAGACAGCCTAATCGATGCACTTGACCCAAGGTGGATGCTAGAAGCATTAAAACCCTAGGGTGGGTGGGGAGAAACAATGGAAAACCATTGAGTTACTCAGATCATGGGTGGATGGGGTATGTTTCTAAAGTAGGGTGTCCTAACCACTCTGCTCTTGGCTTCATTGTCAAATTCAGCCCCCAGTTGTTGGTGTTTTCCATCCTTCCCTACCCTTCAAGTGCATGAAGAGACTTCCTCTTAGAAAGTTGTCTCAAGGGGAAACTTTGCAGTTCATAACTGAATCCAATGTAATATAGCACCATTACTGCATGGTAAACATCCTTTTCCTAACTCTATCATTGCTATGCAGGGATGTAGACAGATTAAGCAAGATCCTGTACCAATCTTGTCTCGAGTGTATTCAACAACTACTTGAATAGACTTGAAAAATAACTAAAGTCCTAGTTTCACTGAGGGTTTATCTTTTACATGTACTTCTCACTTTGGTTTTTCAGAGCTGTAAACAAACAAGATGTTCCTGCCCAGTAAAACTTCGCCATGTGGACCCTAAACGACCCCATCGTCAAGACTTATGTGGGAGATGCAAAGGCAAACGGCTGTCCTGTGACAGCACTTTCAGCTTCAAATACATCATTTAAGTGAATGTAAAAAACAAACAAACAAAAAACCCTGAGCGTGTGCTAGAGAGGACAAGTGAGCTTTTTTCCCATGCCTCCTCTTCCTACCTCTCCTTGCTCAAAATACTTCGTGAAAGGCAGTGTATTTTGACAAAGCCTTCAAATAAAGGTATTGCAAAACAACTTAAACTTTATAAAATTTTGTCTTCTAAAAGTTTTAGGAGAGCTTGTCTTGTGCAACAGTTTGGGCCTGTCACTTTACCTTTAGCGTGGCACAGAATGCGCTGGTCTGAGCTAGGTTATAGCCAGTTGAGACAATTTAGAGGGCTCAGACATGAGACTTACTATTAGGTCTATATGGCTGAAGCTTGTGCGATGTTAATAAAAAGAAGCCACCTAACCGTTACAGTAAGCATTCTTCTGGGGGAGATGGAGACTGAAGGTAACCTAGAGTCAGAACACAGGGTGGCTGCTGAGGGGTAGGTGGGAACTTCAGTGCATACAGGTGACCTTAGTTTAATAGCTAACCAACGACTGGTGGTGGGGAGGCTGGGAGCACTGACCTGACTTATTAACTTCGCAAATGTGGTGCAAGTGAGGCTTGGAACAGGGTGGCTACGGGCAGCTTCTTCAAGATGCTGAATAACAAATCCATTAGGACTTCAGGTTGTAACTGTTTAAAAAACACAACCAAACTTTTAAAGTAGATCCTCAGTGTATTTAAAGATTTCATGTTAGACATAGGTGTTAGTTTCTATTGCCTTTATTGACTTGCAGTTCTAGTCAAGAAAACTAACTCTAACTGTATCTAAGCCTCTCATGATTTCCATAAACACTGAGGCTCTCAGAAAAGAACTGGCTTATAATCTTGCATAAAACCCACGAGAAGATTCTCTGTGGCTCATTCTACACTTCCTACCCTTTACTTGCTAGTTGAGGTTGGCACTGCATTTAGAGCCTCAGATGTTTCTAACAAAAGTGGAGTTGGGGGCTAGTAGAGTTGATTATGCCTCCTCCCAGTTTTCTAACCAGCCTGATTAAGCCTTACTGCCTTTGAAAGGCCAAAAGCTGACATCGTATATAGTCTAAAGGGGTTAAAAGGCGAAAGTGGATTAAGGATTCTACAGAAACCTCATGTCAAGCAAAAAGGCCCAGCTGCATCGATATGGGCCTAGGCAGTGCTTGTAAGATGCATATTGCTGGTCCCCTATCCCCACTGAATCACTGTCTTGGGTAAAGTATTTTGTAAGCACCACAGGTGTTGCTCATGGAGTTGAAGTGGGAGAACCACTGGTTGTCAGCCCTGTGCTTAGTTCAGGTATTAAATACAGATGTGGCTTCTGCCCTTATGGAACTTCCAGTATTGCATGTAGAAGTGGAAGTTGTGATATGTAATATGGAAGATCTGCTTAGTTAAGGGCATGTAATAAATAGGGGATCTGACTTAGGGAGGTCAGGGAAGGCATGCCTAAAAGAATGAAACTTCAGCTGAGCTGAAGTTTGAATGAGTTGATTTAGGCAAAAGGGGAAGGAGAAATTTTCCAGACTAAGGCAACAACATGCAAAGGTCCCTGTGGTAAACAAGGAGACCAGTTGGTAGAATGTTCTGGAGGACAATGATGGCAGGTGGAACTAGCAGGGCCAGATTGGGAGAACTTCTAGGCCTTGCTCAGGAGGACTGGTCTTTAGTCATCAATGAGAATCCACTAAGAGGTATTAAAGACATGGCAGGGAGAGTGGGCCACTCTAGCTATACAGTGGATACCTGCAGACAAGGACACTTGTAGGGACCAGATAAAGTGGGGCCAAAGAGAAATGAATGACAAATCTCTAGGTGTGAGTAGAGGCCTTGTGTTCTTATTCGTCCTAACATGTTACTATTGGTTTGGTTGGGAGTAGGTATGGTGATAGGAAATTCATTTGACTCCCATGGCATGCAAATATTACATAATACAAGGGTACTTCAAAAAGTTCATGGAAAGATTTATATTTTTAATTCTACTTCTCCACAAAGTTTTTGAAGTACCTCATATTTGCTCAACAAGCACTTGCTGAACGAATGAGTGAACTACTCAGAAATGTACCTGCAATGAGTTCTAAGAAAATTCACTGGCTATTACTATGGGTAGTAGATTAGTTTAAATATAATATTGTTTGCCATTAATTTTCCTAACATGGCAGCTAACCCTATTTCACAGTTGCAGGTAAAACAAGGATCAAACTGTTTATAGTGGGTCTTCAGATATTGAACTAAGTGGCACAAAAACATGTCATGAGAGTTATGGTGATAACATTCGAGCAACAAGAAGGCACTGCCAAACTCTATGTACAGTCCAAAGCTTACAAAATGCCAATAGATTTTAAGCAGAGAGAGATCGAGAGAGGCTAGAAAGATATACTCCAAAACGTTATCTCTGGATAGAGAACAGATTGCAGTTTTCTTATTTCCTACATTTTCTAAAGTTACTATGGATTACGTGGAAAATTAGAAAAAAGAATGTTATGAAATACAATTATACTGATTCTAATATTTTATTTCATTCAGGTTATGCTGGCATGGTCTGTGAGCGGTTTTCATTCGTAGACCTAACGGAAACTTACTCTGGCTTTGGTGAGTCTTTTCCAAGAAAACATGTAATGCTTACCTAAATTTAAGGTAGGTTATAGTTTATATCACACCCTCTATTTTACATTATTGAAAAGTAGAAAATATTTTCTAAATTATGTAAAAGTCCTTTGGCTTTATATTTTAGAAGCAGCATGAAGAAACTGCCAGATCTCCTCTTTTGCTGTTACTTTACAGACTATTTACAAATGATAAATTTAGTGGGCAAAAGAAAAGATTGTGTGAGGGTACTTCAAAAAGTTCATGGAAAAAATAGAATTACAAGATAATACAAATCTTTCCATGAACTTTTTGAAGTACCCTCATATGTAGCAAAAATTGGGCTCTAAGTGGGACTAAATAAGGTAATAAATTGAGCATTTGATGTATTTTGTTAATAAATGCAAACTTTGGGTTTAGAGGATGAGGAGTAAAGCAGTGTAGGTTCGAGGAAACTCCAATTGCAAAAGGACCATCTTAATGAACTTGTTCGCATCTTGATTTCTGCATATGCATTCATTTTTATTTCATTATTAAGAGACTTATATATAAATACAAAAAGCAAATTTTAGCTGTTTGAAAGGTTTGGTTTGGGTAGTCAGTCAACTGAACTAATTTTATTTTATTTTTTAAGGAAAATTATATTTAAGAATGAAGGTAACATTTGAAAAGTTTCTAAACGATCCACACTATAATCACTCATCCTTTTTAAAAAATACAACACGAACCAATAGCTACGATGCTTTTTATTTTTAACAAAAAGGATGTAAGGAGGGTGAGAAAAATAGGGGAAAGTAAGATAGGATGTAAAGTGTGATGTGTCTCTGGAAACTCTCTCTCTGCCTGCCCCACACCCAAAAGTTATTAAATAATTTAAAGGACACGATTTACAGTACCAGAACACCATCAAAATAATTTTGTCAGGGTCAAAAAATACAGTGATTATGAATGTGCCGTGACCAGTTACGGAACTTTACAGGAAGCTACAGTCGGCAGTCCAGCGGCCTGCACAGCGCCTTCAATGAATGCACTCGAGCGCAACTACGTTTCTGGCAGGGTCCACACCCCCAAGAAAAGGCAAAGCTAAGCATTTCATTTCTACAGTCTAAACTCTGGAATCACAGAGCCCAGTTTAAAAGAAAAGTCACAGTGGATAAGAGATGCATATAAAAAATACAAGGTGTTCCTTTCAAATCAGAGGAGTTGTGGGACTACATTCATTTCTTTTACAAAATGCTATTTTAAAAAGGACAGAGAATCCAGTTCGTGTTATGCTACAGTGAATAAGTATATTGCATGTTTTGGTAGTCAGTCTTCAGGTTTCCTTTCATTTTCCCCCATAGCCTCGATTCCTTTTGGGTGAAACTTGAGAGTCCTGGATAAACATACAAAAATGCATTTGCATCTCTTTTCTTGAATTCTGCAGACGTCAGAGCCTGCAAGTCATTTATTCTACCATCGATGACCACGATTTTTCTTTAGCTTTGTACATCTATTCTTATATAACAGTGCATGGCACAAATGTACAAGAAAATACTGGTTTAATCTATACAGTTTCTATAATAATTATGGAGTAAAATAAGTTAACTTTTCTAATGAGAATAGCTGACAAGCAGCATACATCTTTATTTTACATTTTAAAGTCTCTGCAGGCATCTACTTTGGTTAGTTATCAACAATCATAACATAAGCACTGATCAGAGAACTGAGCAGCATTCCAATAACGTTAACAGATATATTATTTCTTTTTGAAACACTGGGAAAGCCCAGTTTTAAAATATTATTAAAATGTTCTAACATTTACACACTATGAAGAGTTAGATCTAATAAAATAAAATTTCTTCAAAAATAATCTTGCAGTGCTCTTTTAGGCATGCTCTGAGACGTTATCACCAAACATCCATACCTTGAAAATATGACTATCACATACCCATACACCCCAACTCACACACACATAATTCCTTATACAGACCCCAAAACAAAACACCCCAAACCCTCATCCCACATTGAAATGTCAATGGTTTTTGCAAATAACTCTGTGTATATCTGACTGGATGTTCACGCAGATGATTAAGCATCAGTTGTGGATTATGTTTATGACTGCTAGAAATCCAAGCAGCTTTGCAGGTCTTCGGCTAAAATGAACCAGCCTTGATTTCAGCTTCATTTCACCTGCTTTCTGATGTCTCAGTATTAGAGGCCATTATTGCAAATATTCTTGGAATTCTTTTCTTTCTCCAGAAAGTAATGTATTTGCATCTCTTTTAGCCCTTTTCTTTTCACGTAGGTTAAGTAATTAAAAAATTCCTTCTTCATACAGTTATTGTGGGAGGTATTGGCAGCTGTTAAAAAATCAAAATTTTTCCCTTCAGATCTTTGTTTCTGATAGTCTGACATTACACTATAATTGTACATGCTGCCAGAAAAAGTTA